AGCGGTGTTCGAACACCAACAGCCTATGTTTATCCTGTTCCGATAATGGCCTCTGCACCATAAAGCATAATTGGCCGAACTGCTGCCGCATATACTCGACCCTTTACCGACAGCCGGATATCGCGACAGTGCCACAGACGTCTGAAATTGGCAAATACCAATCGAGCCTTTTGTATGCTCGCCAACATTTCATCTGTGATGCGGTTGCCGGGTGGGATATAGCTGCCCAGGAAGCAAAATTTGTCTACTTCCTCTACTACTTCTTCAGTCAGTGTGAGATTGGGGGCTGGACCAACCCAACCCATAACTCCAAAGGGATACAATAATACTTTGGTTAGGAGGTTTAGTTGATAAGATCACACAAACATACACACACACACACACACACACATCACTTACACACAAAAGGTTCATGATTTGTTCATGGGCGCAATACGGCTAGGTTACCCAGGCCGTGGTAGATGAATTTTCCTAGAGAATTCATAATCGAAGCCTTCGGCTAATCGAAGCCTGATTCACAAGGCAGCGAGGTGGTGTGTGATAAACGCAATCCATTGGGAGCCGGGTGTCCATTGTTCATTGGATCATATACCCTTTGGACAGGGTCAAGCGTCCAAGGTGCACGATGCACCTCGATATCTGTTTTTTGGTTAGCTCCTCCCAGGGCAAACTGCCTAGACCCGGTTCTATCCCCCATCTCATCTCTATCCACCAAGAGAGGATAGTTGTTGCATGCGTGCCTGCGGCTTAACTGAGTACGTTCTGCCAGTCTGCGCATCGATAATTTGCTCGTTTCACAGACGTTTATCGATTGATATCTACTCAGATCGATCATCCTCACGCACTTGCCTGTGCCAATACTGCCGGCCGACATGGGCCCGATCCTGATTGGTTGTTAGTAGTTCTATTGTTGCTTTGTTGAACGTACGTTTGACACGATTGATTGTGAACGAGTCATAATAAATAAATCCTACCCTGCGCATGGTTGTTCTACTTTGCCAGTGGGCTACAGGCCTGAAACTACACAGTTTGAAATCCAAACTTAACAATAGTGAGTAGGGCTTACACAGCATATATCGGCTAGGGTTTCAAGTAACTGAAAATACGGTAATAGCACGTGTATGCGTGATATTAAATTTCCTGATTTGATATTAGCTTCATCCTCCGAGTACCAATACACACACACACACACACACAATCAGTGTCCGGAGCAATACAAAGTGGTGATACTCTGAGCAAACTTCAAATCATGTGAAACTCACCCAGTCTATCGAGTTGAATTGTCGACTGGAACAACGGTTGTACAATACGGTGAAGATGGTCCCCGAGATCACGAGCGGAAGAGAGAGAGAGAGAGAGAGGGAGAGAAGGAGATGGGCCATCATCTCCTCACGGAGAAGAGTATGCATTCAGCCGGGAATTGATTCATAACATTAACATATTATTCATGACAAAACTGGTGAGAAAAACAAACACACTAACAGTAATCAGAGACGTTCCCCAGGCAAGGGAAGCGTAATCTATCATCAGCCTTCAAACCCCTCAGTATAGTCGGGGATGGGTGTATAGGGTTGCGGCTGATCACCGTTCGCTTGCACCTCACGAAGTGCTCCCATACGACCAAGCGTCTCAAACAGCCTCTGCTGAGGAAGCCCCACTCACTACCTTCTCGTGGCGGAGGTGTTTTCCCACACCAAAGTGAGAGGACGAAAATCTGGTATCCGGGGGTATAGTCGGGTTGATGGACCAATTGTACCTCACCTAGGGGAGTTGGTCAAAAGTCCTGATTCCAAACAAGCCACGAAGAGGCGAACGAACGATACACACAACTTGCTCGTTGTGGCAGTGATCACCGGCTCGATTGGGCCNTGGGCCTGGAGGTGTATTGAGCACCTTGGACGTTTGACCCCGTCCAACGGGCGTAAGATCCGATGAACTAGACACTGGATCCCAATGGATTGCGGTTTTCACACACCGCCCCGCTCGCTACCTTGTGGGTCAGGCTTTGGATAGCTGGAGGAGGCTCCGATCGTGGATTCCTCAACATAAGTCACCTGTTTCGGCCTCGAAAACCGGACAATAATTCGTCCACAAACAAATTACTGGTTTGAAATTACCTCCATTTGTTCAAGATCGACTGAGATGAAAATAATGATGTACTTTTTTGTCTTTTTTTTCAGATTATTGTATGACCTGAACAACCGACTAGCACCAAACTGGCGTAAATCCTTTTACAATGACAGTGCACGAAGGCAACAGATGTGCCACTGCACAAGATTGACTGAAAACGTACCAGGGATACTCTGCTGGTAAGCAACACATTACGAAACAGAATATTACAACAGGAGTGAGCCGCTTGAATTATATTGAATACTCTGGACACCAAATCTCTTCATGAGCGCAATCGCCGGGGTGGTGGTGGTGGGGGGGTGGCTGACATTAATGAGATTTGACGGTTAATTCCCGTTTCGTTACTTGCCTCAAACTGTTTGATCAACAATCGCAAGCCAAACAATTCAAATCGTCCACTGTGCAGTCGATTGTTAAACAGAATCCAGTCTATAGTGAAAACACGGGTGAGTCGTGTTCATGTCTCATTGAATCTTTTGATTCATAGTTGCTTTTTGTATTTTCTCTGTCTTGCAGATTGTTTTGATCCCTTCTCCACGGAAAAGTGTGTCCTATCTGTCTGTGTTTGTGTTCAGAGCGCCAGTGAATGGCCAGGGATCGAATGCGACATTTTGTGACGAAGCTAATTGTACAAGAACTCGGACTGTGTTGCCCGGAATCAATCGGCCAGTGTATTTTTCGAGTGATGTCAGAACTGGGATCAGTCCGGTATACTACTCCGGTACGCGCACAACTGACAACTCTCATCACAGCACGTGGTCTACACAAAAAGAACACACGTGTCGTCATTTATTTATCGGATATTTGGTTAAAACAAAATGATAAACTGAAATCCAATCGGGTGGCAAGCCACAGACAACAAAGTTGAATGGTGAAATTTAGTGCACGGAACANGATAAGATGTCAGTTTCGTATCGTTCGGGTAACTTAAATTCCTCTCACCGTCTCCCCACCCGAACTGTGTGTCCCGGTGATTGTAATGAGAAGGACGGTGGTGCAGACGAGAATTTTTCCAAACGTTTTATTTGAACCGTTCAGTCAAATACGGGAACATACTAACGCGCATATCCTTCCGCTTATAATCTGTTATCCTCAATACCCAGACCGCTCCGGAAAACTGTTGTTGTTGTTGTCGTCGTCGTCGTCGTCGTCGTCGTCGTCGTCGTCGTCGTCGTCGTCGTCGTCGTCGTCGTCGTCGTCGTCGTCGNNNTGGAAGCCGGTATCACGTTCGTGGAAGTGTTTCTTTCATTTCAAGGCAAAAATAGAGATATCACAAAAAAGAACATTAGAATATGTCATCATGTGACGGAGACGGGAAACCGCGGTGTAGATTCAAATCTGATCATGGGACTCAGTCATAAACATGAAACAAAACCCACTACTGTGTCAGGTCTGAATATGGAGAAT